TCATTATCTCAACTACAATACCCTATCTTTTAACCACAAACATTACACTCTTTCCATTTCCCTTCAATCTGATCCCCAAACCTACTCTCAGGCTATCAAGGAGGATCGTTGGAATAAAGCTATAATAGAGGAGTTGGGTGCCTTGGAAGAGAATAACACCTGGACTCCTGTTGATCCTCCTGTTGACCAGAAAATTGTAGGGAACAAATGGGTGTTTAAGACCAAGTACTTACCTGATGGGGTGATAGAGAGGAGTAAGGCTCGTTTTATGGCAAAGGGATACACACAGACTTATGGTGTTGATTTCATTCACACTTTTTCTCCTGTTGCTAAGTTAAATTCTGTGAAAATGCTTCTGGCTGTTGCTGCCATCAAGGGTTGGCACTTACATCATATGGATGTAAGCAATGCTTTCCTCCATGGTGACTTAGAGGAGGAGGTTTACATGGAAAGTTCCAGATGGTTTGAAGCATCTAAGTCACCTAGAAGGAAAGGTTTTGAAGCTTAACAAGTCTCTTTATGGACTGAAACAAGCTAGCAGACAGTGGTTTATCAAGCTGTCTGAATATTTGAAGCAGATGGGATTTGAGCAATCCCTTGATGATTATTCAGTTTTTAAAACACTCTCAGTTGTCCTAATTGTGTATGTTGATGACATACTGTTGGCTGGACCAGTTTTGAGTGAAGTAGAGCATGTAAAGAAGGGATTAAAGAAGGGATTCAAAGTGAAAGATCTAGGCAACATGAGATACTTCCTGGGTTTGGAAGTTGCTAGATCAAGTGAAGGGATTTCTCTGAATCAGAGAAAGTTCTGTTTAGAATTGTTGGCAAATTCTGATTTCCTAGAAAGTAAAGCTGCAAAAACTCCCTTAAGCATGAAGACTGTCCATTCTGCAGCAGATGGAGTTTCACTAGAAGATGGATCTCACTACAGGCATCTGCTAGGCCAGCTTCAGTACTTAACCTCAACAAGACCAGACATTACATTTCCTGTTCAGCAGCTCTGCCAGTTTCAGGACAAGCCTACAACTACTCATATGAAGGCTTTGCACAGGATTCTAAGGTACTTGAAGGGGTGTCCAAGTCAGGGTTTGTGGTTTTCATCCTCTTCTTCACTTGAAATAAGAGGATGTTGTGACTCTGATTGGGCCACTTGCCCTGATACTAGGAAGTCAGTGACAGGATACTGTACTTTCCTAGGAGATTCATTGATTACATGGAAAAGTGAAGAGCAGAAGACTGTTTCTAGATCTTCTTCAGAGGCAGAGTACAGAGCCTTAGCTCAGCTCTCATGTGAAATTCAATGGCTGAAGTCACTTTTAAGGTTGTATGGGATTGAACATCATCAACCAATCAAGGTGTTTTGTGACAACCAATCTGCTATACACATAGCAGAAAACCCAGTTTTTCATGAGCAAACAAAGCACATTGAAGTCGACTGCCATGTTATTCGTGAGAGACTGATTTCAGGATTGATTACACTTCATCACATTCGAACAGAAGAACAACTAGCAGACTTATTTACTAAAGGCCTCTCTGTTGACAGATTTCAATATCTACTGTCCAAGCTTGCAGTGCATGACATATGCCTGCAAGCTTGAGGGAGGCTGTGAAGCGAGGTTTCCTTGATCACCAGCTGCTGCAGATCTTCAGAGATGTTGCAGAAGGAAGAACAGACGAGCTGAGGAGAGCTTCCTTTCACAATGCTCAGTAAACAGTTGGTGACCTCAGAGCGGCGTCGTTTTCCTTAAGTGGTATACACTACACAAAGTAGAACGACGCAGTATTGATAGGTTGTGATTAGTTAGAACATTTAAACGTTGCTTAGCCACTTGGCACTCGTTGATAGGTTAGTTTAATTAATCGTTCTTCTTTACCGTTAATGTACAGTGTTCTCTGATATATATACACTACAACAAATTCGGCCTATTAGGAACAAAATTTTATTTTGTCATTTTCTGTTTGTCAAAATATGTATGGTGATATGACAAAAATAATATGTCCAATTTGGTATGCCTAATGTGGCAAAAAAAAAATTGTCAGAATAAGTCGTCATTTAAAGTGAGTAATGTGACAAACATTTCGTGTCGCAATTAATTTTGTCAAAATAGGCATCCCATATCGGGATGTAAGAGACTCAACAGTGACAAATTTCTTGTTGTCAGAATAGTTCGTCATTTAAAGTGAGTAATGTGACAACTATTTCGTGTTACAATTAAGTTTGTCAAAATAGGCATCCCATAACGGGATGTAAGAGACCAAAAGTGACAAATTATATCGTCAGAGTAGCTTTTGTCATATTATGTCTTCCTGAATTGTTTAAATGACAAAGTATTTTGTCACAATAGATAGCAATAATCCCACGACGAGCTGACAAAAGGGCATGTTCGTCATAATATAGTGGTTTCGGCTTTGACAAAAGGCATGTTCGTCATAATATAGTGGTTTCATTTTTGACAAAAGGCATTTTCGTCAAATTTGCTTGTATTAGACTGAAATCAATCGACCCGACCGACACATTTTTCCCACACCCAAATTTCAATCCTGCCCAATTTTTAACTGTCCACTTTTCAATCCCTCCCAATTTTTAGACTCCAATTTCAGCCCACCAAAACTTGAAATTCCTCTCCCCTAACCCAATCTCCATTTATCCTAGGACCCCACTCCTTTTCCTCCTCTTCTCTTCTTTTTATTATGGGAAGGAGAAAACTGTGGGAGAAAAATAAATACTTGTTCACTGGAAATAAGGGTATTCGTCGTTTTCTAGCAGAAAACACACTCTTAGACCTCGCGTTTGATTCACGGCGGGTATAATTTTCCCCTTTTCCTCCGTGCTTCTACACGCTGCCGTTTTGTCAAGGGGCTTGCTATTTGCCGCCAAACAAACTGCTATTTGCCGCCAACTAAAAAACAAAAAAAAAACAAAAAAAAGTATATATGTCCATCCTTGGTTAAGAAGTTTCACAATCTACACCATATTCAACTTTCAGAAAATGTATTGAATCAGAAAAAATCGACGCTCGCCGGAAAAGTCGTCGGAAAACCATCGGGAAAGCCCAGTGCCTCCGTCGCCGGCACCGTTCCTCCGTCGCCGGCCAACCTCCCGTCGTCCTCAATCGTCGGAAAACAAGTAAGTTTACTTTTTTCGGCAATTTTTCCAGTTTTCCGGCGAAAAACATGGTGGGCCGAAAAAAATTTGCGGCCGGCGCGCCGCCGGGCCGAAAAAATCTTGTGGCCGGTGCGCCGCCAGGCCGAAATTTTTTTGCGGCCGGCGCGACGCCCGGCCGAAAAATTCTTTCGGCCCGGCGGCGTTCCGGCGGCAAATTTTTTTCGGCCGGTCGCCGAACGCGCCGCCGGAAAAATTTACAGCGGCGCGTTCGGCGACTGGCCGAGAAAAATTTGTGGCCGTAACGCCGCCGGGCCGAAAGAATTTTTCGGCTGGGCGTCGCGCTGCCTGAAAAATTCTTTTGGCCCGGCGGCGTTCCGGCTACAAATTTTTTTCGGCCCACCGTGTTTTTCGCCGGAAAACTGGAAAAATTGCCGGAAAATTGAAAAACTTGCCGGAAAAAGTAAACTTACTTGTTTTCCGACGATTGATGACGATGGGAGGTTGGCCGGCGACGGAGGAACGGTGCCGGCGACGGAGGCACTGGGCTCGTCGACAAAAATGTTTTTGTTGGAATGAGTCAAATGTTATGGTATTCGAATTTATAGGAAGGGAAGGAAGGGAGAATTCAAATTTTGAATTCAAAATTTGAATTCAACTTTTTTTTTTTTTTTGGTTGGCGGCAAATAGCAATTTGATTGGCGGCAAATAACCGTTCACTTTGTCAATGACAACCCTAGAATAAGATGGCTGTCAACTCTCCTCCTACTTCCTTCTACCTCTCGCTCTACCTCCCATCCCACCGTATCCCTCTATCGTCGTTCCTTCTTCCCCCAGACAACCACCAATCCCGCCGTTCCCTACCCCCAGACCACCACCAACCTCGCCGCCATCATCTTCCTCTCCCTCCAGACAACGACGAGCCTCGTCCGAGAAGTCAAGTAGCAGCAACGGTTGCGCCGCCATCATCTTCCTCTCTCTCCAGAAAACCACGAGCCCGCATCCGAGGGCATTCATTAAGCACTCGATGCAGTGGTGGTCACTGAAGCAACGACCATCAACAACAAATTGCATCACACGAGAACACCGAACTCTACGTAAGGTCCCCTGATTCTCTTTTCGTATTTTGGGTTTGTGCGTGTTAGATATCGATGATGAATTAGTTCTTATTTATCTTAGGGTAGAGTCGTGATGTTTCTAAACTTTTGCAATTCAGGTGTTGCATAGGATAATTAAAGGGATATTAGGTCAGAATTACTCCATTCCTCCACTGCTGACTAATTATTGAACTTTCACCGTGTGCAGCAACTAATGGAACAAATACATAACAAATGACACTTATACTTAGTTTTCTAATTTGGATTTGATTGGTTTTAGAACCCCAAGACTTTAGCTATGGATCGTGTGTCTTTATTGTTGTTTATATATCCATTCATCCATCTGGTTATATTTTTTTTTTATGAATAATCTGATTATGTTTCTCTTGATCTCTCATGTACCTTTTTTCCTAATATGGGATTATATTGTTCTTACAACCTTCTAACCCCTCATTTCTCACTTTCTTCATCAAACAACAGGTAGAGTACTGCCAACACTAACCTCTCTATTCAAATTAATTGAACAGGTGTGCAAAACGTGTCCTTTTGAAACAATTGCATGTGAATCTACCTCTCTACCTTATAATTGTAAGAATGCAGCAGTGAGGAATGGAACAGTGTAGTTCTGTACTAATTTTGATTTTTATCGTTACTGTTTACAGAAGCATAAGTTTGTTCCTTTGAGAATTGGTGGTATATGTCTTGTTGTGAATCATTGTAGTCCTTAAATACATGTCCTCTTCCTCACAGAATTTCTGCATGTAAATAGTAATTTGGTGGAGTTTTCTATGTTGAGAGTAATAAAAGCTTGCCACATTCTTTCACACTGTTTTCGTTGATTAAGTTATACATATGCAGAATGCAATGGCAGCTTGATGAGCTGAAGGGTAAAGCCTCTTACCAAGTCATACACAGACTCTTTAAGCGAGCTTGGAATCTCAAGGTAATTTGTTGATACTTGTTTGATTCGTAAGCCATGTTTTTGTGCTTTCTCCTTGAGTTTAGATGAAGTTTAGGCATTTTTTATTTTAATTGCAGCTTGAACATTTGCCTACAGATTATAGTGGCTCATCCCTTACTCTCGTTGGCTCTCAAAGAATTTGTCATTTGATATTTATATCAGGTAAACCTTTTTGAGGTACTAAGTTGTCAATATCTCTGTGAACATTTAGCTGGTTTTTGTTGTTTTGATATATTTTCTTCATACTTCAGTTCATTAATTTCAATAGCCTTAATTTAAAACTAGGTGTAAGAAAAAGTGGCTTACCTTGTTGATGTTTCTTCAGAGTTTTTTATTTATTTATTGAGAAATGGCATTTTTCAAATTCTAATTGTGTGCCTTGTCATTTTTTTTTATGAATCAGGTTTGTCCAATATCCCCTTAAGGCGTGCAGGACGAGGAGCAGCAATCTGGAGCTTAAGACGATAAGAGACATTTGCAGGAGTCATCTACTCCATTTGCTTGGCTCTATTCATTTCATTTCTGCAGCATTCTTTAGTTGTTCTAGTTGTTTTTATACGTGTAGCTTCTTTACATTATTTATTTTCCTGTTAATGTTTGTTTACTTTGCCATTGGATTTTATAAATGAACTCCATGTAATATGTTTTGTCTTATTTAAAAGAGATCATTGATACGAAATCTAAGTCTCCAAGAGCATGCAGCAAGAAGCATATCCAACAAGCTATTTTAAAAAAATATTCTTTATAGTGTTTATTATATGTCATTTTAGACATGAGAAGTATGAGACAAATGAGACACCTTTCCTAACAAATATATTCATCAATATATGCAGGTATGGCAAAACAATGTCGGCACAATGAACACTTGTGACAAAACGTAAGTCGTCAGAATATACAATTATGACAAAATATAATAGTGTAATATGACGAATAATTCTCTGAAAATCACCAGATTATGACAACCTTAATGACAAAATATGTCGTCATAACATCTTTGTTTGTCACAATAGACTACCCATAACCTCAGCTATACTGAAAGCAAATTTGACAACTTTGTTTTTAATATTTGTCATATTTGACCTATCCTGACGGCGATAAAATGACAAACCTTTGTGACAACACATTTTGTCATACTATACCTAATATGATAAAATAGCTATCTAATATGACAAAATTGCCTCATCATAATAGGCCGAATTTGTTGTAGTGATATGAAAAACCCACAGAGGAAGAAGGCATTCCGCCGATTTCCCACAAGGCTGGTCTTATCTCTTTTGTAAACCCTAGCATTCTTTGCAGCTAGGTTAAATCCTTCACTTGGTATCAAAGCCTGGTTGGCTACTGATTACCTGATCTCTTCTTCTTCCACCATCAAAACCCTGCTGATTTTCAACAATGTCTGGCAAGGATGATAGTAGTAGTACAAAGCGATCTGAGGGTGAGAAGGAAGTCGTTGTTCCTCCTCGCTACGAAGATCCTCACAGCAATCCGTTCTATCTGGCACCGAGTGACAATTCCTCGTTGCCAGTGATCAGTTTCAAGCTCAATGACAACAACTACCTCCTCTGGAGTGAGTCTATGGAGGCTGCTGACCTCGCTGTGGATGAACCCACCATCAACCGATCACCGCCGCAGGTTGGAGCTCTAGCCGAGGAAGTGAAGAGTGAGGACGAAGAAGAAGCTGTTGTCCTCGATCTCGCACCGTCTCCACAACCATCGCTCCTGTTCCACTAGGCCGCGCCACAAGGTAACGTGTTGGGGAGGAGTCGCCTTCTCCTGTCGGTGTTGAGCCACGGATTGGGCTAGGGAATAAGCACAGCCCCATTACCGTCGAGCCTATATATGTTCTCATTCGCCAACAACAGAATCAAGGAAAGGGTTAGTGGATCACAACTCGACGCCGGTAAGCCGTTCATGAACGACGGAATGCCGCTACTGTTGCTGCGAGGCCTGCAGCAGCCGAGGAAGGAGTGATCTCTACGCTGCCATCATCAAAGCAACAAGAAGTTTCCACGGTTGAGAAGCTTCTGATTTCCAAGCCGTCGCAGCCGTTGTTGAGTTTTCAGGAAGCCCTGCCTACCGCGGTCGTTACTGCAACTACTGTTACTGGTCCAAGTTCTTTTGGACAGCTTGAACCCAATTGGAAATATCGTAAGAAGCAGGTGAAAGATGGCGGCCAAGTTCACCTCAATGTTGTTGTTGTCGCCACCCTTCCAGCTTCCCATTATATTATAGCTTTCCCATAGGAGGTTATTGTTTACTTTACATCTTGTAATTACAAGCTACGAAATGATCTTTTCAAATATGAAGTTAATCAAGAATAATCATCGAAATATGTTGATTGCCAGATTTGTGAATAATTATAAATTAAAGAGTTGGATTTGTAGTACAAACTAAGAATGTAATTAACTATTTATGTTTATTTTTATCAATAATACTATTTATGTTTTTTTTTAACTAATTAATTTGTATTTAACTATTTATTTACTTATTTCTTGCTTGCCCAGCATATATACCGGTGCTCTTCTCTGAATTTCTAAACCTACTAATGCAGGGTAGCTTGAAGCCTGGTTGGAGGAAGCCGCTCGGATCAAGAACGGAGGCATTGTCGTGAACGACGAGACGACTAGTTGATTGCATGCGTGAATTGGGCACTAGCTAGTTGAGAGCATAGTTGGTAAATACTTCATTTAATACACATATATGTACCTATACATACTTTATCGGTTTAAAACTTTCGTATCCGTATTATTGTCAAGCCGTTTCATTTTTCTCCGTTTATTTGATGGCTCATGGCTCCCGTTCTAAATGTGTATAAAACCCGTATAACACGTTGAGAGACTATTATTTATTTGTTTTATTTTGTTTCCTGTTAAGTTTGGATTATCCAAGGACTCGGCTAGCACAACTAGTTTTTTTTTTTTTTTTTTTTTACGAGAGCACAATTAGTATTTAAACCCTTTGTTATGGGAAGAGACTCATTCTTTTTCGGCTCTAATCAAATAAACCTAAGGGTCACAGGAGGTCAGATATTATGGAAGGAAGATTCTTCCCGGAGGACGTGATGATGAGCGAAATTTTGGTGAGGCTCCCCGTATTCTGCCTCGTGCGTTTCCGGTGCGTCTGCAAATCATGGTACTCTCTCCTCTCTGACCCCAAATCCCTTTACAAAACCCTATTCTTCGTCGAGAACGACCACCGCCGCGACGACACTAAAATTCTTGTCAAGCTCCAGCTTAACCATGCCGACCCATTCCTTTACTGTTCCCTCTCATATGATTCCCTCCAAGTTGAAATCCCCTATCGAGATTTTCCGAATCCGAATCCAAATTACAAGCAACCCGGGTGGATAATGAGCGCCTGTGGCGGCTTGTTTTGCGTTACTTACTTCGGCGGCTCTGCTGGAGGAGACGATCGTACTCACGCTTTGTTTAACCCTGCCACCTCCGAGATCAAAGTGTTGCCCCCTCCCCATCATATACCGTTGTCTGAGTATGGAGTGATTTGGACCACTACTGGGTTTTGGTTCGACCAGCAGACCAATGATTACAAAGTCATCAGGATTCGTGGTGTATACAGGTACGCAGATAGTTGTTATCTCAATCTGATTCATGTGTGCAGCATGGGGGACGATTCATGGCGGGAACTCGATGGTTCTGTTGGTATGGCACTGCCGCCACATCCACATTTCAGAATACACGGTCCTGAGCTCCCACAGCATTGTCCTCGAGCAAGGTTGAGTGGGAGGAGGAAGGGAAAGTGTTTTTGGGTAGGAAGGAATGAATGCCATAAAGCCATCACAATCGTTTCGTTCGACATGAGCAGCGAAGTGTTTCGGGTTGGCAAAACCTTGCCAAATCCTTGCGGCAGGTGGTATAATGTCAATGGGTTCCACCCCTGTGTGTTCATGTTGAAGGACGAGACCGTTGCAATTTACCATTGTGATGGTGCGTATGATGCAGAACCGAAGATGGATATATGGGTGCTGCAGCAGTTTGGTACTGCGGGAGAGTGTTGGTACAAGCTGTTTTCTATCTCCCCGTGTATACTGATGGGGCCGAGAGGATTGTCGAAAGATGGGAGAGTGATTTGTGTCACTCGTGATGATCGCCTGCTTGTCTTGGATCCCACCACTGGCCAAACATATGCTCTACCGGTTGGAGGTTGCTACCACTCTGTACAAGTTGTAAGCTATGTTCCATCGGTGCTACCGTTATCTCATTGGAAATAAAAGCTGTGATCGATGCTCTTTTTCTTACGGCGTTTCCTTATAGCTCATAGGAAACAGAACACCAGCTTATTAGTACGTATATAAGCGGATGAATTGATGGCAGAAGTGGTAGTGAGATTTGAATTATTGGTAAGATTGATATGTGGATTCTTACTGTTTATCTAGAGCAAAAAGCTAGGTACACAAGTTGGTGTACGTAGGCACTATATATGTTCTCAATAAACATGTTGTGGCTGATGATGGTTCATTTTCGAGATGGTTAGTTCCGGTAAGTAGGTGCTATAAATAACCTGACTGCAACTTATCGAAACACATTTGAATAAAAAATGCTATTTCTGCTGAATGCCTTTCTCATTACAGCGTGAGTGAGAGGGAAGAACTGCAGAGCAGCTGCTAGTGCTCTCTATTCTGAGTTCTGACAATGAGTTCATCATGTTGGAACTGAAGGGACAAGTCTTCTATGATTTTCATGTTACTTTAGTACAAGTGTTCTTTAGTAAATTAGTAATCAGAAGAGGCCCAGCCTTATTCCACAATCTGTTTGTTAAACTTTACGGCCTGCTATAAACGAACTTTACTAGGATTTTCTCCAGTTGATGTCTGTAGGCGAATCAAATTTGGAAAGAAGATTAAGCCAACCGAAATTCTATATGTGCTAGTCTCCAAGGTTTACTCTTTCAGGGGTATATCTGAAGATCTTATATCATTTTGCTTCTGCTGTCTACATCAATATGTGATTTTCATCGGACACTGCTGTCTACATCAGGGGTGGACTCATTTATTGTTCCCACACGCTATCGTCAAGCTAAAGGCCATCCATTATGGGAAGCAACAATGCGACGTGAATTGGAAGCACTCCATGCTAGTAATACATGGACCCTTGTTCCTCAACCATCATCTTCCACTTCAGTTGTTGGTTGCAGGTGGGTCTACATAGTAAAAATGAATCCAGACGGTACAGTGGATCGGTACAAGGCACGTTTGGTTGTACAGGGGTTTACTCAAGAATATGGAATTGACTACAGTGAGACATTTGCTCCTGTGGCTAAAATGTCTACTGTTCGGATATTATTATCGGTTGCTTCCCTTTAGCAGTGGCCTCTATATCAAATGGACGTCAAAAATGCGTTTCTTCACGGAGACTTAGAAGAAGTCATCTATATGGAGCCACCTCCTGGCTACACTCTCAGCTCTCCTGATCAGGTTTGCCGGCTTAATCGCTCCTTATATGGTCTCAAACAGGCACCTTGTGCCTGGTTTGAGAAGTTTCATGCTACTATCTCTCACCTTGGTTTCCAGCAGGGTAAAAATGACCCTTCCTTATTTACCCGGAGATCTGATGCTGGTATTGTTGCTCTCCTCCTGTATGTCGATGATATGGTGATTAATGGTACTGATCATGTTGGAATTCAGCGGCTTAAAGAAGGTCTTCATGCTTCCTTTCATCTCAAGGATCTAGGCGAGTTATCTTATTTCCTGGGGCTCGAAGTATCTCGTGATTCTCGTGGTTTGCTGCTTAGCCAGCATAAGTACATCACTGACTTGCTCGATGATCATCATTTTGTGGATTGCAAACCTGTCTCTACCCCCATGGAACTGAACTTGCGACTAGGCCAGGATTCTGGTGATCTCCTTCCCGATGGCAAGGCTTATAGAAGTATTGTCGGCAGTCTTATCTACCTATCTGCTACTCACCCAGACATATCCTATGCTGTACAGGTCGTCAGTCAATTTATGGCAGCTCCCCGTGCTGATCACTTACCTGTTGTACATTATATTCTGCGTTATCTGCAAGGCACCCGCGATGTTGGCATTTTGTTTCCCTCTACTGGTGAGATTCGATTACGGGCTTTTTCTGATTCTGACTTCGCTGGATGCGTTGATACACGACGATCCACTTCTGGATGGTGCGTTCAGTTCGGAAGTTCCTTTATATCCTGGCGCTGCAAGAAGCAAGATAAGGTTTCGAAGTCTTCTACTGAAGCTGAATATCGCTCCATGTCTGAGGTTTGTTCTGAACTCATTTGGCTTCAGCGCTTGCTCAGTGATTTTGGTGTGACTTGTCCTCTTCCATTGGATCTTTTTGTGGATAACACTAGTGCGATTCGCATTGCGGTTAATCCAGTTCTTCATTATCGCACTAAACATATTGAGATACATGTTCACTATGTTCGTGACTTAGTGAATGCTGGGACTGTGCTTCTTCATCATATTCGAACTGAAGACCAGGTTGCTGATCTCTTTACGAAGTCATTTTCGACTAGTCGTCATTGGTACCTGTCAAGCAAATTAATGCTTTCCGATCAGCATCAATTTGAGGAGGCTGTTACCGGATCATAATGAGGATCATAACGAGGCCCATTTATTTTGTTTCTGTACATAATTAGACCATTCATTTGTCCATTTATTTTGAAACCCATGAAGCCCATGCAAGGGTCACACGTAGAGTGGAGAGTGGCCCTAGGGTTCGGTTTTGGCTCTCCTGCCTCTTGTATATAGTCTGCAGTGTAAATGATGAGCAGACACAGAAAACACATACCGAATAAGATCAGTAGCTTGAAGGGTTTTCACTCTTCGTGGATTAGTCCTGGATACTCCAAGATACCACGTAAATCCGGTGTCAGCTCTTTGATTTCATTTTTCATTCTCGTTCAGTTCTTTGTCAAATCCGAATAAGTCATCAGGTACAACGCGTAATTTCATGAATTTGGATACCTAAATAGAATTTACCAGAATTTGTAATAAGTGACCGAAAAATCAAAATTTAAATAAACTAAATTTTTAAATACCAACAAATTACAAATGAATATCCAAGCAACGAATTTAAATTACATGTATTTTAAATGCTAATATTTTAAATTCATACATTTTAAATACATTACATTTCAATTATATCTATCTATTCAAACACAATCTAATTCAATTCAGTTTATAAATTTACCAATCTAATCAACCAATTCATAAATCCAATCTACGTCGTTGCAACCATGGATTACGAAACCGTACCGGACATCAAACCGGAATCGTCTTTGGCATGGTAAATCGTGGTACAACCATGGCTCAACCGTTTCCTACCGGTAAATACCGTTTTTGGAATAAAAAAATTATTTTTTTATTAAAAAACCGTACCGGCAAAATTAGTGTACCATACCGGGAAAATACCGGAATAAAACCGGATTATACCGCCTAAGAAATTGTAAAAGGGTAAATAAGCTTAGGTAACATTCAACAAAGTGCGAGATTTCAATACCTAATAAACCTCATAATCATCCAAATACATTTTTAGAAACTAGTACAAAACCACAAGCTTAATGTTCCTGATAGACCATTGATTGCACGTATTTTGCCTCCGTTCCTGAGCCGTTTGAGATATTGATTCTCGTGTTTTAACGTAAAAATAGACGTTCACGATAAACTTGAACAAGCCAAAAATTCAATTGATATTTTTTCTAAAATTAATTCTCTATACTAAACTATGAAACCAACATACAAATATATAGAAATATCTCAAAATTGACCGCCAAACTTTACCAATCCTATTCCTAAGCAACTAAAACCTTTATTACTAACTACTTCCATTATTCTAAATCTACTAACCCCAAAAGCCAAAATCCCCCTCCCATAAAAAAATCCAATAATCCCACTAACTGCCGAATACTTTCTAATAATAATTATAATAATAATAATAAAAAACAACAAAATCCCCCTTAATCCTCTCACGGCAATATCACTCCCCATACCCATCTTATATAATAATAATAATAATTCGTCATCATCAATCTCATTTATCTCCGCCTTCCCCAAATCCTCCAAAATCATCATTTATCTTTCTGCATCGGCTTCCCCAAAATCATCAATCTCATTTTCTCCACTTGATAGAGCGGCAGCAGAGAAAAGCAGGGAGACGAGAAAGCGAGACCGGAGATCCGTGAGAAAGAGTCCACTGCCGAGCTGATGCCCGTCACCAAGTACACAGGGAGGAAATCACCACCTACCCGCCTTCTCCGTTCTTCCGCCGCCACCACTTCTCTCGACATATGAAGAGGATTCATGCCGGCGGTTTTATTAAAACCGGCCGGTTGGAAGCGAAATACCGGTTGCACAGTTAATATCGGCCGGCACGTGAAAAGCCGCTGGATTCAGACACCGTTCCGGATCAGACGCGGTATCCGGCTTTTCCGGTCCTACCGTCCGGTACGGCACGGTTTGGTAATCCCTGCTTGCAACAAAATGAAAGATAAAGAGTTTAATGTTGTTGTACGTTTGTTCCCATTTAAGCTGTATAACAACACTCCTTGTGTTGTTATGGTAACAACACTAGTCTCCAACCAATAGGAAGCTAGGGTTGTGATGACTTTTATTAGATGAGTTGACCTAGTGTAAAATCAAAGTAGGGGTATAATTGTCATTATGAAAAATATGTTTAAATAATAAAAAAAAATTAAAAAATTAAAAATTAATTTTTTTTTATTTTTTCGGCCCAAAAATTTGGTCGCCGGAATTCTGTCACCGGTCGCCGGAAAATGGTCGCTGATCACCGGAATATGCTTTTCGTCGCCGGAATATGCCATTTTGTCATCGGAATATGCTCACCATCGCCGGAATATGCTTACCGGCATCGGAATCTAGTCATCGGGGCCGGAATATGCCTATCGGCGCCGGAATCTGGTAACTGACGGTCATCGGAGTTTGGTCAACGAAAATCGTTGACCGGTCAACGGTCTTCGCTGACCGGTCAACGGCCAACGACCACCGGATGTTATAGTCTGATTGTGAGATTTATGGTTTGGTTTCTCATATTTTTGTATGCCTTTTGTGGTTTGGTTTATCGTGTTTGTGGTTTGCATTAAGAAGTTTCTGGTTTGCTTTATCGTGTTTGTGGTTTGCATTGAGAAGTTTTTGGTTTGCTTTCAAAAACTTTGTGGTTTGCATTGAGGGGTTTGTGGTTTGTTTTAGGAGATTTGTGGTATGCATAAGGAGGTTTCTGGTTTGTTTTTGTGGTTTGCTTTAACGTGTTTGTGGTTTGCATTATGAGGTTTCTGGTGTGTTTTTTAAAATTCTGTGGTTTGGTTTGTGAGATTTTTGGTTTGTTTTAATATATTTTTGGTCTGCATTAGGACGTTTTTGGTTTGTTTTTGTGGTTTGCTTTACGGTGTTTATGGTTTGCGTTATGAGTTTTCTGGTGTGTTTTTGAAAATTTTGTGGTTTGCTTTGTGAGGTTTCTGGTTTGTTTTAAGGGATTTGTGGCATGCATTGAGAGATTTCTGGTATGCTTTTTTTGGTTTGCTTTATCGTGTTTGTGCTCTGTATTATGAGTTTTCTGGTGTGCTTTGTGGTGTTTTTGGTTTGTTTTAGGAGAGTTATGGTTTTGTATATTTTAGTTATCTGAGGTGGTGAAGTCAGCGGAATCAGACCGTCTGATCACACCCACCAGGCTACTGGCCTGCACTCTACAGGTCTCTATATAAAGAAGCACCAGCCTTCTGTCATCTACATCAACAAAGTTCAAACCTTCATTATCCTTGAAGAGCAACAATGGTGAAGAATTCCCAGCCCAAACTGCTCATTGTTCTCCTTCCAATCCTTCTGCTCTCAGTAATCCAGTCCTGCTCCGCCGCTGGTGGGGTGGCCATCTACTGGGGCCAGAACGGCAATGAAGGGACCCTCTCGGAGACATGTGCCACCGGAAAGTACGCCTATGTCAACATAGCCTTCCTCAACAATTTTGGCAACGGCCAGACCCCCGAGCTCAACCTGGCAGGCCACTGCAATCCGGCTTCCAACGGCTGCCAGGGGATCAGCACCGGGATCCGAGACTGCCAGAAGAGAGGAATCAAAGTAATGCTCTCCTTGGGAGGTGGCATCGGGAACTACTTTGACAAGTCCCCCAGCAACGGGAACTAACCATTACAAATACGTACAAGGAAAGATAGTGACTAGTTGACAGGAGTCAAGTAGTCAACACATCTTCTACGACCCGGCCCCACTCCAATCAAAAGTGTCCAAGTTGGCTTTATGAATGACTCGTAATGTTTTATGTTGCTGCCAAATCCACCGCCCTTCGGTTCCTCGGCTGTTTCCACCACCTCCGGCGTATCCGGGTCCATCTCGTCTAATCCTCCTCACCAAGGTCACAGCTCTATTAATCCAATGAAATCCAGACCCTAACTACTCACCATCATCGCCGGAATCAAAATCAATCTAAACCTCACTAGATTTTGAATGGACCGTAGATATTCTCATCAGCCGGGTGCTGCCGCTTCCCTCCTTGAACCACCAAGTGTCTGACCGAGGAAGTCGATCTTCGGGGGCGAAGGAGAAACTGGGGTTCTTCGATTGAAGCTTTAATCGAGAAGGGGAAGATGAAGGAGAGAAGCTGGGCATTGTGAGGAGCGGAGGAGCCAGAGGAAGAGATGCGGCGCCAGAGATCCCTATTAGTAGGGTTTCTCTGCCGGAGGAGAGTTTGAATTTGGGAATCGGAGGAGAACGCTCGACGGAGAAGGAGAAGAGAGCGGGGGAATTGGATTTAGGGATCTTATTAATTATTATTTTTCTTTTAATTGTAAGTTTACCCTTATACCCTTAATGAATCATGTTGTTAGTATAACAACACTTAAGTTTACCCTTAAGGTGTTGTTATACTATCCGGACCCGTTTTCCAGGGAATTTGGGACGGATTCATTCCTTATGTAATCTGTTTTCCTTTGCCGTATGTTCTCCTATGTGGCAATTATACCGGAAGAAAATATTGACCTAATTTAATTTCAAATAACAATTGGATCATAGAATTGGGCTAAAGGAAAAAACAACAAATGGATCATGGAGCGATCAGTTCAGAGCTCCACGTCCTCAACCTCCACCACTATGCTGCTCAATCGCGAAGTGCAGGGACACGGACAGAGACACCAGAAATCCAGAATAAGATAGAAATGAAATGGGCCCGGGAAAAAGCAAACCCGCAAGCCGACGAAAGACGAATCACTCCCTCGAATATTCCATCCCCCCGGCCCGTACCCGTTTTATTTATCACCGCCCTAAAAAAATTAAAATTAATAAAAAAGGGAAACCAAAACGGCAGCGAATAAAATATGAACCGAAAACAAGGATAGGAACAACCGCTGGCCACTCCCGAAACCAACTATCACAGCCAAAAAAAAAAAAAACAAAAGATTCCCATGTGTACGCGACGCCCCGACTCCGGAATCCCTCCTCCGCTTTCCCCTCTCCTTTCCTTCTTCCCCACTCGCTCTCTCTCTCTCTCTATTTTCCTCATTTCCCCCGTCCTTCGCTCAGTCTCCTCTCTCTCTCTCTCTCTCTTTCCGTCGCCACGCCAGCCATCGATCCTCCGTCGTGCCCGTCATAATCAGAATCCCTCCTCCGTCCGTCCGGTCACCTCCTCCATCAAACCTTCCTTTTTTTTTTTTCAATTTAATTTTATGCTTGGTGGGAAGCTGTCGTTGCCACAAAGTTTATTCCCTTCCGATTCTCCTTTAGATCCCCTTTTTATTATTGTTATTCTTCTTCTTCTTCCCCCATTCTTCTCTCCCTTCGTCTTCTTCATATTCCCCTCCCCCGACCCCCGATTCCTTTCTCTCTCTCTCTCTCCCCCCTGGATCCGGATCTTCCTATGCTCCCCCTTCTTCTTCTTCTCCTTCCCTTATCTTCTTCATATATAGCCCTATCCTCCTTTCTGCGACCAGACTGCCAACAAACAAACAAATTTGAAGTGAGATGGATTTCACCGATCAAAGGAAGCGCTGCCACGAGTACGTCGACGCCCTGGAGGAAGAGCGCCGGAAAATCCAGGTTTTCCAGCGCGAACTCCCCCTCTGTCTCGAGCTCGTCACCCAAGGTCTGCTTCCACAATCTAATTCAAAACCATCAGCTAGCTACTTACCTTTTTTTTTTCCCCTCGCTTGGATTAATTGTTGATGTGTGATTTCGCAGCGATCGAGGCATATCGGAGGGAGCTGTCCGGTTCGACGCCGACGGAGTACACCACGACCGTGCCTGGTCAATCCGACTGCTCGGAGCACACCTCCAGCGGCGGAGGTCCAGTGCTGGAAGAATTCATCCCTATTAAGCCCCAACACAACTCTTCCTGCAACGACGACGATGAGGAGGAGGAGGAGGAAAATGAGAACGAAAATCATCGTCACACCAACCACCACAATGAAGATGATGATCATCGGGGTAGCGGCGGCGACGGCGAGAGGTCACTGAAACGGAACCGGAGCCAAAATGAGGAAACGGAAGATAACAAGAGCAGTAGCAGTAACAAGAAATCCGACTGGCTCAGATCTGTTCAATTGTGGAACCAGTCCCCAGATCCACCGCTCCCAAATGAGGTACCTGGCCTAATTATCTTACCCCCTATTCTCATCACTGTTTGGTTTGCTGAGAAAATCTCCGGAGAAAGAATCTGGAAAAAAATTAGAGATAGAAGGAGACTGTGAGCCAGAAAAATTAATTTGAAATTATACTCTTTTTTAGGAGGTGCCGAGAAAAGCGGTGGTGAAGGAGGTGAGGAGAAACGGATCAGGAGGCGCATTCCAGCCATTCCAAAAGGAGAAAAATAGTAGCGGCGGTGGCGGTGGCGGCTTTGTTGGGAAGAGCAACGGTGGTGGTGGTGGTGGTGGTGGTAATCATGACAATACCATCACCGTCGCTACTGCTGCTGCGACTACTCCATCCTCGGTCCTGAGTTCCAGCGCGGCCGCGGCGGGGACCAGCGGCGGCGCTCCCAGCGTCAGCAATACGAATAGCAACAAACAACAGCAGCAAAAGTTTGTGGATAACAAAGAAGCGCAGGCGCAGCAGAGAAAGCAAAGGCGGTGCTGGTCTCCAGAACTACACAGAAGATTCCTTCACGCTCTCCAACAGCTCGGCGGCTCACACGGTCAGTAACGTAACCCACTGAATCGAACCGAGTCAGTCCCAGTCGGGTTAAATGATGATGATGATCCGTAATTAATCTTTCCCATTACCATTAATACGATCTCATTATTATCGTTTTGTGGTTCTAACAGCTGCGACACCGAAGCAAATTAGGGAGCTAATGAAGGTGGACGGGCTCACTAATGACGAAGTTAAGAGCCATTTACAGGTTAGTTGTTGCTCATTTTAATTCCGATCCCCCCAGACAGCCCTCGTGATTCTCTTTCCGATCACCGGCATCTCTTTTGACGGTGGGAAAACGTGGTGAAATGATGAACAATAATTAATTAAACCCTTTCACACTAATCAGCCAATAATTAAGCTTAGGTTAGATTTAATTTTATTAATTATATTAGGAATAAGAAATCTTTTTACTTTATTAGAGAATCCAAAGTTAAGGAAAAAGAAAGAGTTGATGGTTGCGGAAAGGTCACGTAACCGGAAATCTGTCAATCTGATGTCCTCTTTTGTTTTCCCGATGGCAGAAATACCGTTTGCACACAAGGCGGCCGAGCCACGGTGTGCAGAATACCAGCAACCCGCCGGGCCCACAGTTCGTGGTCGTCGGAGGGATATGGGTGCCACCGTCGGCGGAATACGCAGCGGCGGCTGCGGCAGCAGCAGCAGCCGCGACGTCTCCCCGAGAAACGACTCCGAGCGGATCGATTTATGCGCCGGTGGCGAAGACGGTGGCTGCTCAAAGGCAGCAGGCTAGGAGTACGGAGCAGTTGCAGTCGGAAGGCAGAGGCAGCAGCCGGAGTGAAGGCGGAGGAGGAGCTCATCGGCCGTGTTCTCCGAGCACGTGTTCATCCACTCGCACGGCCACTAGCACGCCGGGGAGCTAATGTTTCCCTCTTTTTTGTTTGGGTCTTGAACAGAAACAAAGGTGTAAAATTTTTGTAAGATCATGTGATGATACGATAGATGGAAAGAGGTAAGAAGAAAGGCGTGGCGCGTGCGTGTATTATTTTTGTGACAGATTAGATTAGATAGACATGAACAAGCGATGGGTTGGTTTACATTAGGAGATAATGACAGTGGATGGATCTTTGAATTTTGAACGTTGAATAGTGGTTGGAGAATAAATTAATTGGCAAATCTTTCTTCTTACTTCACGATGATGACTTGCTTAAGTTAAGATAGAGAAATGATTGTCTTGGTTTCTTTTCTTCTCCGTCAATACTTTGGCCAAGCAATACCAAATTTGTACATGTGGAAGTTCTATCTTTGATATAGGAGATAGGAAATGATCACCTCTTACATTACGACCTTGACAAATTGCAATTATCATATTGTTAATGAACCTCGGCAAAGACAACACTGGGGAACGTCAAACCACTGGTATGCCGGCTGGTACAATCGAGTTCAACTGATGTTGAAGAAAAATCGGTTGAAATACAACCGATATGAAGTGGTAGTTAAAATCTATAAATAAAAATATCAAAAATGTCGTTTTGATGGAATTAAGGAGTCGTTTGGAAACTGTGTATGTTAAACCGTTTTATTGTTACGAATCACTATGATGTAAATGCATGCATTGGTACAATAGATGTATTTGACATTACATTGTTTGGTTGTTGAGATTACAGTTTTTGAATTGATTGTCATAAAGTTACTTTATAAAAAATGTCACATTTTCCCTCCACTTTTAATATAAAACAAATGATATTATCCCAAATGGCCACCTCTACACGTTTAAATTAGTTGACGAAAAAGCTATCGAAGTTGGGAAGAAGAAGGACAAAATTTGGTTAAGTGTTGGAACAGTGTCAGGTAGCCTACTTTGGAGGCTTGGTTCTCTCAATTGGCTCAATGAAAATTCAAGTTTGATAGCTTGTTTTGAACAAAAGAAGTTTATCTACACGATGGTATGCTTGGTTGCTCAAGGGAAATTCAGGAAGGTTATTCTCCAAGCTCACCAAAAGCCTGTGGCAAAACTGGAAAACTGCCAGAAAATGGCTAAGTCTGGAAACGAGTTTGAGAAGCATACTTTGGAGCTCAATTCCAGGACCATGGATGTGATTCCAGTCCAAAAGCTTCCACAACATGAAACTAGGTATGTTTTTACCTTAATTGTTTCCTAGTTTTATTAGGTTTGTGTTAGGTTTTTATTCTCTTTAAATAGCTTTCAATTTCACGTGTAAAAAGAGAGAAGAATTTGATTAATCGAAAAGAAACCTTTGATTTTGTGCAAGTTTTGTAACTTGTGTGAGTTTGGTGGATTCCAAACTTGTGAGCTTTGTATCGATTGAATATTCCCTTCAATCGTGGTTGAGCAACTAACCCTTTAATCCAATCGAGCGTTCCCCAGGTGTGGAATCGTCCTTTTGGTCGAAGTTCGTATTAGGAACGTTTCATTCTAGATTCGAGTTCAATTGATCCTTCGATTGAGTCGTTAACTACATGACTTTGATAACATACACACCCAGGGTTGTATTAACAAAAACAACTATGGATATAAATGAAAAAAGAAAAAAAAAGGTTCAACTATTCAACCAATAAGCACAACAATCTCTCATTTTTGTTGATTGTAGGTGAGACCTACACAAAACAATACATGCAATATTTTGCAACTTGACACTTTCAAACGTTGTGTTGTAGATAATACATGTATTTAATAAGTACAATATTAACAATCGCAACTTCCAAACGGTCCCTAACTAACAAAAAGAAAGAATTTTTTGGGTTCAATTATGAACATTTAGATGTTGATGTTATCTAATGAATTCAAGTATCAAAGTTTGGATGTTGACGTTAAATGTTACATTTAAATATAATAATTTATCATTTTGTTTATAATTTAATATTTTATTTGAATATGGATGTAGATTGTGTCTATACATTGCTAGACTTGGAGTTGACTGAGGTTCTTAAAAATTGAATAATACTAAAGCTTATATATCTAATGAACTTTGAGTTGATTGTAGTCTTTAGATAATCTAGCACCGACGAGAATACGGTGTCTTAAATTGGAAGGATATACAAAAGCCTATAGATTTAATGGATTTAATGGATTTTTATGGTGTCTTTTTTGCCAAGTTGCGTCTTCAGACCCCTCTCCTCAATGCCTCCCTCCGCTACTCGATTGTGTTAAGATAAATTATAAAAAAACACAATTCAGTTGTTGTTAATTGTATCCCGCTTCCTCGTGTGTTTTGGTAAAACTAACACATAAACTGATTATAACCCATTCGGATCATTCCATTTGCTAAAGTGCCGTAACAGTATAAACTCGTTTAATAACTTTGTTGATAGACAAATGTTGTGCACATAAAAATGTTATGGTACTATAGCTTATTTAAACCTAGTTGACAGTTGTTTCGTCAATCTAAAAAATTCTTTGATACAACTGTATTGCTATGCATTGGTACTATTTAGCCACACGAAAGAGTCTCCCTTTGCACATTTTGAAGTTGCTTAATAGAGATCTTGCCTTACACTCTGTTTGAGAAGAGAGGTAAATGGGAGGAGGATGCAAATGTGAAGGGTAAACACAGTTTCCAACATATTTACACATGTTTGGATAATTTGGAACAATAGTAGAGGTGAAAATTGGGGTGGGTGTGGTTACCCGCCCCACATTTTGTGGTAACCACACCCACAAATATAGAATTATGCTACCCACAACTCGCCCCGCGGTGGGTAGTGGTTAACCACTATCCGCTGCGGGTTGGTTGTGGATACCCACAAATATTTCATCATTAAATAAAATAATATGATAATTAAATAGTGAAGTTGTGTTTCTTCTCACACAAAAACAAAAATATACATAAAAGAGAGTTAAGAAAGTATTAAATAAATTTATAAATCTCGAATACAAGAGGTTAGTTAGTGTAAATTTAGAAGAGATGGATTTTGAAAGGATTTGAAGATAACGGAGAGGCGGAGTGACCTATTACCAGACAAACACTGTGCATATCACGGCTCCTCCGATGGCAACAACAACAAAACACAAAAGTGGCTCGATAAGTGGAGGCACCCACTTTTAATGAATCGATTATTCTCCACTCTCAATTATAGTCTTGTATTGTTGGTAGCTAGTTTCATCTTGTGTTGTTCGTGAGTTCGTGGAGAAATGGAGACGAGTTTGGGTATCGAACTAACCTTTATCGATTATTCCCCTCTTATAATGAAACGATTAATTTATCTGACTATATATATGGACTTGGTTTTGTTATAAAATAAACATATACCACACGGACAATGCTTATTTGATAAAAGTATATCACACGAATATTGTGTACTGACTTGGTTTTGTTTTATAGAATAAGTATGTATTTAGCTACCTTAATTTTTAGTCTTCCAAGTTTCTCAAACTAATATAACTAATGTGGTTAATGTGGGTTTTGTGGGTAAACGTTGTGGGTAGTGGTTAACCACTAACCACAAAAATCAATATTTTGCTACCCACAACCAACCCACTATCCACAAATTGTGGGTATGGGTATCCACAAAGTGTGCGGCTTGGTGCGGTTTGCGTTTACCCGCAACCCACAAACCAAACTTCCACCCCTAAGTAGGAGGGTGCAAACTGTAAGTGCAGAATTACTATTTCGGCTTACCCCTCAAATTGCAGTGCAAGGGAAGGAAGGAAGAGAGGGGAGAGTGGAAAAATTATGAATTTTTATTTTTTAATTGTTTTATTATTATATAATAATTAATATTATAAATTTATGAAAATTATAATAATTATAGTTATCATTAATATAGACATTGTTCGGAGTTGACCGTTTGACTACGAGAACAAGTTTATCAATGTTAGTCTAGTCAAATAGAGATCTTTTGGTTAACTCGAATTTGCATTGAAAATTAGTGATAAGAAGTGTTTGTGGAACGTGTTTGACTAAGTTTGACCATATTCAATTTAACGATAGATTAGATACGAGAACTTTGTAGCATGACCAGTTACGAGTTGGGCTTCGAGTTCTCTCAACCAATAATTATTACAGTTGTTATAATTAATTATTATTTGAGCTATAATAATTGTTTTTATTAAAATATATTTATTATTTTCTTTCATTATTTTGTGATAATATTTTATAAATTTGATAAATATATTTTATAATAATATAATATTTACTTTTAACTCTATTTACACCCCCTACTTTTTTTATCCAAACAATAATTTACCCCTCCACTTACACCTCCATCAATTTGCACTCTCCTGCAATTTGTCTCTCAACTTGCACCCCCCTCAGATTTGCACCCCCATAGGCGGAGCTAGGCTATTTTGACCTTGTCCCGGGACAGGGGTATTTTTTTGGAGAGGAAAAAAATACCACACCTACAAGTAACATAAGGATATTTTATCACTATAGCACAACTCATTACTTGTTCATTAATTGCTAAAAATTAGTCAATTGATTCCACTCATGACACTATTATTTGACAACTGCTTGTACATGATGAATTATCTCGAGCAACAGTGGAGATGAAAGTTTATAAGCCATATATCTGTAAGTTTATTTGCTTATGAAACTAGAAAGAGCATTTTTAGCTTCAGGTGTATTAAGAACAACTTCAAAGCTAGATTGACGATCAGTTTGCTAATGATTATTTAATGAGATACACTGATTGAGACTTGCTTAAAAGTGTACACAACGAATGTATTTTGCATTTGTTTCGGAATACAAACACTCATCGTGGTTGTTTATGCAAAATATAATTGTATTAGTTGATTGAAACTTTATCTACGAATGAATTATTTGAATATTATTACTTTTAATTATATTTATTAAATATTTATTAATTATATGTTTATATTTTGAAAAGAGGACAGGGGTAGTTTCTAATCCGGCCTCCGCCACTGTGCACCCCTTTTGTTGCCAAACATAGTGTTAGTAATCCTTCATCAATGTAACATGAGGTGTTTGTATCACCAACTTAAATTTGAATTCTCTCTAATCTAATTAGGATATCGTCTTATCACATTTGAATCTTACTATTAAGTAAATCTAAAAAGGATTCATTTCCGACAATAAGGATTACGACATTGATCGTTCTCATATGGGGTGGACACTCCTTACAGACAGGTGTGTCGGTTGACACGCTTTTGTATGAAATATTTATGAGAGATCCAGATTTTGTTGGTATAAATAATTTGAATGGGA